CGCACGCGCCCCTCTGCCCGCGTTGGCCACGAGGCCTAGTCGGCTAGACTGCGTTCCCCGCAGTGACCCTTGGCGTCTCTACATTTTAGGTTTCAGGGTTGATCATTACTTCCACGTAGGTTCTATTTAAATTATTCTTGGGGTTGGGGATTTAGCTCAGTGGTAGAGCGCTTGCTAGAGCGCTTGCCTAGCAAGCGCAAGGCCCTGGGTTCGGTCCTCAGCTTTGGGGGGGAAAAATTATTCTTAGAGATGTCTTGAAAATTGATATTTGCCAGTGCTTCCTCACTGCCTGGGTTCAGCAAGTGGTGGATATTGGGACTGGGCAAATTTCCCCCTTCTGAGCCATATTTTATGTCCCCATAATTATGAGTTAAGCCAATCTTTTTTACAGCTGCAGTAATCTGTTCATGTGACAATAAAATGACCTTGTCATATACCCTATTCCCAGAAACAAAAAATTTTAAGGTGTTCACTGCTTTGGTTGAAGCAAGATCCAGTAATTTGTCTCACCTGGTTCCTATCTCACTTTAGGGAACAAGACTGGGCAGACTTGTTGAAAGAAACATGGATATGTAGCATATTCTCGAAGAAGGTAACGTTTTGCAGGACTTGAAAGAAAGGCGGTGTGTTTTGCCATGCCCTGTGATTAGCTTGGAAGGCAGTAGCAAGTCTTGCACTGTGGGATGAAAGTGCAAAGTGGAGCCTAGGGAAGGTGACTCTGGGTGGTGGTAGGGAGTTTCGCTTTTAAAAGTTTTCAGGTGTGACTCAGTTGGAACTCTTGCCTAGTTCAAGTAAAAGCAGGAGTGGTAGGACACCTGTAATGCTAACACTCGAGAGGCAGGAGGAACAGAAGTTCAAGGTCATCCTCAGCCATGTAAAATAATTGTGGTCAGCCTGCACTGTATGAGATTCTGTCTAAAAAAAGAAAAAATCCAATTTAAATTGCTTCTTTGTTTGTGTCTCTGTGTGAGCATGGACACACTTGCAGGTGCCCACAGAGACCCAGAGACAGACCACTTACTGAGAGTTCTGGGACCTGAATTTTGTTTACCTGGAAATAACAGAATGCTGTTAACTAACAAGCCATCTCTCCAGCCCCTGCAACACATCCCCCCCCCCCAAAAAAAGCCAAAAGTTAAGGGGGGTGGTGGCTTTTTTCCAGGTTGGTTAATGAGGCAGCCTGTCTGTATCTAACACCCATATCAGTAGTGCTCACTTGCTTTCCCAGAAGTGTCAGGAACATGAATTGTGTATCCTAGGTTTCTCAGAATCATTCTGACTTAGCATGTCCTGTCATGTTTCTTTAAGCCAAAAAAATTTTGATCCTGGATACCTTTGAAATTAAAAACAACCTAGCCCTGTACAAGACACACATGCCCAGATTTGCATCCAGGAAACATTGAGTGGGACCTGGGGCTCCGGATGGGTTTTGAAGTGCCCCTGGGACTGGCACCTCCCAGGCCGGAATGCTGAGCTGTGGTGTCCCACCGCTTTCTGTACTGAAGCAAGCTCAGGACTTTGGCTTCGGAACAGTGCCGTTTCATATGTAATGGGTGTGGAGAACAGGAAAAGACTGAGGCCAGTTGTATAGGATAGCTGTGTCTTGTCATTGTCATGGTCCTCTAAGTTTATTTAACAGTCCCCTCTCTTTTCAGGACTTTGGAATCTCTTGCTAGGAGTCTTACCTCCCTCCCTCTCCTGACGCCCGCTATCATGGCAGTTCGCCTGATGAAGCAATGCACGTGCCTGTTGAGAGAAGCTACCCGCCTGGTCCCTACCATTGCTCCAGTTGCCCGACTGAGACTTGCTGGGGTGGCCTGTAAGACTCTGACCTCCTCAGTCAGCTCCCCCTCCTCAGGTTCCTTGACGGAGCTGTTGGGAAAAGAGCAAGTGTTTACCCCCTACCCAGAGCACCAGGAGGTGGACTACCTCATCGAGAAAGCCACCAGGCCAGAGGAGCTGCTAGAACTGCTAGGTGGGGATCATCACCTGCACCACAATCATGCAGCCCTCATTCTCATCCGGCTGTCTTACCTGCTGTCCGAGAAGCCAAAGGAAAAGGCCTTGCTTGTAGAGGATGCTCGCTTTCAGCAGCTTGTCAGCCAGGTCAACAGTCAGGTGAGCGCTAACATGTTGCCTGGGGATGTAGGTGAGGGGAAAGTGTAGTAGTCCCCCTCTTTTTCTCTTGAGGTCTTTGGAATCCTTGCAAGGAGGCTTATCTCCCTCCCTCACCACTAGCACTAATTGTAGACAGGGCTCCTGGCATTTCTTATTCTAGAATTCAAAGAACTTTCCTATGCATTTTGTTTATCCTCCCAGGAGCCTGTTAGGTAAATGTTTGAGTCTGAGACAGGCAATCTGGTGCCTGGTATCAGAAGTACAGAAGATGAGCCTGGTTCTTTTCAGTTCCTTTGGGGCTTTCTCCTCAACAGCAGAGCTTTAGCTTACATTTCTGCTCCCACCCCTCAGTGTCTGATGCCCATTGACACGACCCTTGATGTCAGGAGATGCAGGGTGACTAATGGAAGGTCCCTGAACCTAGGGCTATTTTCTAGTCACATTCAGAGCCTCAGAGGATGAACAGGTGGAAAAGATAAGGCCTGTTTGCAGCAGCTCTCCACTCCAGCCAGTTTGTGCCCCAGTGAGGAAAGACTCCTTCACACAGCTGTTTCCCGGAGTCCATCAGCTAAAAGGAAGTACAGCCTGCCCTAGCTAAACTGCCCTTCACTCCCTAGTCTCAGTGTGATAAAGAAGGGTTGGGCCAAGTGCTTTAAAAGCTTGGGGTTTTTAAACCACTATAATAAGATGTGGCCTTTGTTTTGTTTTGTTCGAGACAGGGTTTCTCTGTGTAGCCTTGGCTGTCCTGGAACTCTCTCTCTGTAGACCAGGCTGGCCTCGAACTTAGGTAGTATAGGAAGAACTCTTTCTTATACTCTTGTAGTTAAGCATGTTACTTTGCTTGCACTGTGTGTATTCACATCAGATTCAGGTGTTTCTTCCTGAGTATATAGTGCATAAATAAACTTAATAAGCCTTTTAGTCTGTGGAGTTTCAATTCCAGTTGTGTTTGTTTGGTTTAAGTCTTAAGATACAAGACTCAGTGTTGGAAGAGATTAGTAAGACAGAAACACTGGACGCAAGGGGTTGTGTGGTTTGAAGCAGTTGTTTTGGTTGTGTGTGTATGACATGCATGTGGAACTGAGAGTACACCTTACGGGTCAGTTCTTCCTTCAGGCGTAGTTTCAGGCACTTTACCCTCTGAATTACTCCCCGGCCCTGAGACCAAGTCTTCCCACTGTCAGTGATGGGTTTGCTGCTGTCCAGGTTTGGAAACTGCACCTCTAGACCTGCCTGCCTGCCTGCCTGCCTGCCAATGCAGAGATGTCCTGGGAAGACCCTCCGTGTGTCCACATATCTGAGTAGTCTTTCTTGGTGCCTGGCATCTCTCCATGCCCCCCAGGGCACCAACGTCCTTGGAGGCTCTCACTACCCCCACTGTGTGTGTATGAAGGTAGTTTCCCAGGAGGCTGCAGAGGTGCAGACAGCCAGACCGCACAGGGCTAGGCTAACAGCAATGCCTGCCCTGCCTCCCCAGCCCTTCAGGTTGCAGCTCCTCCATTCCCAGCTCATCTCCCTCTGTGTGCTTGCTTTCCATTCCCCTTGGAGAGGCGATGTCGGGTGCAGAGAGACACAAGTAGTGACAGCCGTTAGCATCACACCATTTTTGTCTTCCCTGATGGGGGGCTCCCCCGTAGCTCTAAGACCAGAGTCACTGCGTGCACAGAAGAGTCAGCTTCTTCAGAAAAGAGGCAGTGGTGGCAGTGGGAGAGCAGGATCTGGACCCAGCTGTTCCTGAGACTTGGGGACAGCTCCATGTCACCAGAAAGAAAAGTGGAATGGTTGGAGCTTCTCGGATTCAAAATAATGATGATTTTTCTGAAGAAAAACCAGGTTTTTTATACCTAAAAATGTGTCATTGTGAGCAAAAATAGTAAGTCTGTAATAAGACTGGCCATAGACAGCTAGTGCTGGTGGAGGTAAGGCCCTTGGGCCCATGTCCTCTGACCTGTGTTCGTATCTGCTGTGCTAGCAGCTCAAGGATGCACAGCACGTGGCTGTGCCAGGACCCAGTACTAGGGACTGGTCTGTTGGGAGTCTGTATCAAGGAACCTCTCTGGACACTTAGAGCTCTGTCTTTCCATGGCACACTACCTAGGCCGCCTCTATTAGAGGCACTAGGTTCTTTGGAGGCTCCAGGAGCAGGCTCAGGAAACGAGTCCCCTGAGGCTGGGGTGGGAGTAGCTGCTCAGAATAGTGGGGTTAAATACCTTTGGAACTGGCTTCATATTGTCTTCGTCCTTTTCTGCGCAGATAACTTCGATCTGGCACGGGACCCTTGTGAAGCTGCTGCGGAGCCTGTACACACTAGTGCTTCCTCAGACCTCCAAGGAGCTGCAGTCGGTGGAGCAGGAAGTGCGCTGGCGTCTGCGGAGACTCAAGTACAAGCACTTGGTCTACCTGGCTGAGACCTGTGCCTCCTTCATGCGGGAGCAGCACTCCCAGGAGCTTCTGGCGGAACTGCTGCTGCACCTGGAGCGGCGCTGGACCGAGATCAGTGACAGCCGCACAGTGGTGACCGTGATGGTGAAGGCAGGACACCTCTCAGAGTCACTGATGAACCGCCTGGAAGACAAGGTATGGGGCTGAGAACAGGCCTTCTGGGACTTTGGGCCTGTTCCGTGGGTGACAGTCTTCTGCAGAAAGGGGGTTGGAGCCCTGGAAGCCTCTGTCTAGTCTCAGGCATCACCCGGGAAGGGCTCTCACCACATAAATCCAACACCTAACCAAATGATCATAAGAAGTGGGTGTGGTAGGCGACTCCTGATGTTACTAGAACCCATGAGTCCTGGTTAGGCCTGAGCTGTCCCATGCACAGTTCAGCTTCTAGATAAAACTCCTAGAGGTGGTTCTGTCCGCTGCCCCTTCCGTGTTGCTATCTCTGCAGCCAAGTCAAATTCAGTTCCCGTCTTCTCATGATGGGAGCTGGCCCAGATGGCTGCCACAGCAAACTGCTGCTCATGGGCCCTGGGTCCCCTGCCCTGGGACCTAGGGATAAATTTGGCTGCAGACATTGCACTTCAGGCCCAGGAGTCCCTGGGGCAGGCGAAAAGGCTGATTCTGTGCAGCCGGGCCTGTGTTGAGTCAGCTCAGGCCCAGTTGCTATCTCACAGGGGCTGCACTGGATGGGACCCCTGCCCCCAGCCGTCCCAGCCACCTCAGCTGATCCCTGCGCGGCTGTGGTTGACAGTGCCTGGAGCTGGTGGAGCAGTTTGGCCCTGAGGAGCTGCGGAAGGTGCTTGTGACACTGGCGGCACAGAGCCGGCGGTCGGTGCCCCTGCTGCGGGCCATCTCCTACCACCTGGTACAGAAGCCCTTCCCGCTGACGAAAGGCGTGCTGCTGGACCTGGCCTATGCCTACGGTGAGAAGAGGGGGCCTGGCCGTGGACCCCTGCAGCCTTGTCAAATTCAGTGCCTGTCCTAATGATGGCGAGCACTGGCCCAGAAGGCTGCCATAGAAACTGTGACTCCTGACCCCTGTTCCCTTGCTTGGTTCTGGGATAAATTTAGTCACAGACACCAAGGCCCCTAGATGTCAAGTCTGAGATGGGGGAGGGCAGTGGGTACGGGGCACAGACCTCCCCGACAACGAATCTCTGGTGTCTGCTCCATCCCAAAGGTAAACTCAATTTCCACCAAACCCAAGTGTCCCAGCGCCTAGCTGCTGACCTCCTGCCCTTCATTCCCAGCATGACACTTGGCGAGGTGGCCCGTTGCGCCAAGTCCTTTGCCTTCCTCAAGTGGCTCAACCTGCCCTTGTTTGAAGCCTTTACTCAGGTGAGTTAGGACCAGTTCTGGGGCTCTGTGTGGAGGCTCTGCAGGCCTCAGTTGGAAACCGCAGCTTTGATTATGGAAGCAAAGCCAAGCTGAAAATAACTCCTTTGGGGTTGTAAATACAGACTTTCTTACTTTGATTTGGAAAGCGATGTCTAATAGTGGGGCGGGGGGGGGGGGGGGGGGGGAGACAAACACACATCCAAGCAAGGGACTGTTTTGTTCCTGAATGTCCTATTTCCCTTCATCTTGGGGCAGTTCTGGGGGAGGTTGACAACTTTGTCTCCCGGCTCCTGCCCACTCCATGGAATTACATGAAACACGGTGCCTGTGTGCACTTGTCCCTAGAGCTGTCAGTGTCTAAATCAGCTGTCAGGGAGTGGGTGAATAGTCTGGGCTCCCAAGAGGGGGGCAGCTGCTGTCAGGACACTCACCTTGTCACTCTGATGGCCTAGCACCTCCTGAGCAGGGCCCAGGATGTCCCCCTGTCCCACCTGTGCAGCATTCTTCTCGCCTTCGCCCGTCTGAACTTTCATCCTGAACAAGAGGATCAGTTCTTCAACTTGGTATGGACCACTTCCCTCACCCACTAACTTCTGGCTCAAGCCACTGTCCAGAAGTGGCAGGAGTGGGGGGTGGGGGTGGGCATCCCAGAGACCATTGGAGAGCAGGCAGACTGTCGGGGCAACAGCAGTATAACCACCTAAGTGCCCTGGCCAAAAATCCTTCCTTTATCACAGTGCCCACTTGGGAGCATCTCAAGGGCTTGGGTCCCTGCTGGTGGGCAGGATGTGAATAAACCTAGCTAAAGAGCACCAGGATACTGGACTCCCAGCACAAAGAAGGTCCCTTGAATATGAGCCTGGGGTTGGTGCAAGCCTTACCCAGTCAGGATGTTGGTCTTGCTCTCCAGTAACTGCCTCTGGCTCCAGGAGGACAGGTCCAGCAAGGGTTGGCTGCAGACTTTCCTGGGACGGTGCAGTCCCGCAGTCCCTGGGCTGAGCCTGTGCTCTCCTCGCCCAGGTACATGACAAGCTGGACTCCATGCTGGGGAGCCTGGAGCCAGCCCTGCAGGTGGACCTAGTGTGGGCGCTGTGTGTGCTGCAGCAGGTTCGAGAAGCAGAGCTGCAAACAGTTCTCCATCCTGGACTTCACCAACAATTCCTAGGTGAGGATTCTGCCCTGCACACCGCATAAGCATGCACACTCTACTGTGGCATGGAAGCTTTCTGATCTACCAGCCAGGGAAGAAACTGGGGCAGAGACAGGAGAAGGCCAGAGCATCCAAAGCACACCCCCATGACTCTTCAACAACTCCCTGAAGTTGGCCTACAGATCTTCACTTTGGAGCCCCAGCCCAAATACCTTCCCATGTAGTCTCTTGTGATCCCCATTTCTGGACCTGCTGCTGGATGTCAGCCTACCCTTTCTCTCATCCCTCAGGGAGCAAGTCTCCAAAGGAGCAGAGCACCTTCCAGAAGTTGGTCCACATCAACACCACTGCCCTGCTGGAGCACCCTGACTATAAAGGTCCTTTCCTGCCAGCCTCAGCTGTAGCCCTCAGCCCCTCGTCCTCTAGCAAGAAGATGACCCCGCTCCAGAAGGAGCTGCAGGAGACACTGAGGACACTGCTGGGGAGCCCTGACCAGGGCAGCCTGGAGGTGGTCACCCAGTATGGCTGGGTGCTGGGTAAGGGTTCCCTTCTGCTAGGAAAGGGTCTAAAGCTGACAGGCCCACTGTAAAGACCCTGCATGGCTCAGCAAGGACCCAGAGAGCTGCAGGCACCCAGTGCTTATTTGTATGTTCACTGTGGGGTCTCTAAGGCATCACTGCAGGTCCTCATCCATCCCCCTCCTCCGTCCTCCCCCAGATGCAGAGGTGCTCCTGGATGCCGATGGCCACTTTCTGCCCCTGAGGGATTTTGTTGCTCCTCACCTTGCCCAGCCAGTTGGGAACCAGCCATTGCCCCCAGGAGCCAAAAGGTAGGTGGCCAGGGATCTCTGGTCATGGCCCTGGGAAGGGATACAGCGGTTACTGCTGTTCTTGAATGTCTTTTAACTCCTCTGTCTTAATCTGAGTGCATGCCTTGTAAGCACCCTTGCCTCCTGCTAGGATCGCTTTCCTGCGCTGGGAGTTCCCTAACTTCAACAGCCGAAGCAAGGACTTGTTGGGCCGTTTTGTCCTGGCCCGTCGACATGTGCTGGCTGCAGGCTTCCTGGTAGTAGATGTGAGTACCTTTTAGGCAAGGGACCACTGCAGAGGGAGAAGCCCATACTTATTTAAAGACTAGAAGGATATAGACAGGTGCCCAGCTCTGAACCCTAAGCCAGGTACCTCTCCCCCACACCACCACACAGAGGCTTAGCTTGCCTCCTGTGGACACACCGAGAGTGCAGCCCAGCCCCAGGAACTGTTGCTCTGCCTGTGGAGCTAGGGCTGAGATCAGTAACCTGCTGCTGCTGTGTGCCCGTTTGGAGCCGTAACACAGGAAAACCTCGGCGCTCAGATCACATGGGAAGTGCTGACTTTCCTGCAGAGAGAGTTCAGAGCTTTCGGGGCTGCATGAGTTTCTGTCACATCATCTTCAGAAGCCCTGCTGGGACCTGTCTGGTTTGCAATCTCTTTGCCCCTGCCAGAGCCAGGACTCTCCATGTGCATAGGCTCTGTGCTCTTCCTGAGGACAAGGGCTGGGTATTTAAGTCCGTCAGTCGCTGGACTGTCAGTGGGAAGGACTCCACAGCCCATGAGATCTGTCTCTACCACCTCCTTCCAGGTCCCATATTATGAATGGCTGGATCTCAAGTCTGAATGGCAGAAAGGCGCCTACCTCAAGGACAAGATACGAAAAGCAGTGGCTGAGGAGCTCGCCAAATGACCTTTCCCATCAGTTCAAGCTGCATCCCAGAGACCTGACTGCTCAGTGGCCCAGCAGAGTGCTAGGCAAGCCAGAGTTGTCACCCTCAAGGATGAACCGTCACTATAGGACCTTGGGCAGCAGCTCCAAAGGACAGGTGGTCCTAATAAATCTTTGGTTTGGTGGATGCCAGGTATCCTCCTAGGCTCTGTTTATCTCCTCTGTGCCCCGCCCCCCTCCGTTTTGTACACACGGACCCTGTCCTGTCTCCTTCCTAGCTCTCCAGGATTGTACCCAGTGCGCTGTCCTCCCCCAACTCTCCGATAGTGCCTGTGTGGTGCAGCGAAGCAGAGGAGGGCTGGCTTGAGACAGGAAGCCTGGATGTAAATGGGAGGATCCAAGACACCCGATTCTAGGAAACTGACTAGACTTGGAGTGGACAGCAGAGTTCTAGTTATGATCCTGAGAGGTTCCCTCCCGTGTCCATGTGACTAGAGACTATCTAACGGTAACATTTGGAAGGCCTTGGTCCTGGGAAAGAAAAGTCCACTTGACTGATGTCCCTCTCATAACTACCTTAACCACAGCCAACTCAGAAACCACCAATTCAAGATGGAGGCCTGAGCCCTTGCTGCTGTGAATAGCAACAGGGTGCAACCTTTGCAAGAGACGCCCGTAGACAAAGCTTGCCCAAAGGGGAGGCGTAAGACAAAGGAGGTTCTTGCCTACTCTGTACATTGCCCCCAAGCACCAGCCTGAGCCCTGTGTGCGGCTTAGCACTTCTGCTGGCCTGGACAAGCCTGCTGGTTGTCACAGAGGTGCAGGGGAAACAGAAAAGTGGCTGCAACTGGCTGGAGGGCAGGAACAGCTGTCACAGCTTGTCTGAGTTGAGGGGAGGCAGGCAGAGAGGGCTGACAAGGCAGCTGGGGTGGCCTGTTGGTGTGTGAGGAAATAAAGATTTGTGCTGCTCACCACATGGGCCACTGGCTTTTTTTTTTCCGCTGACTGGGGGTCACCATTCAGTTAATAGTCAGTACTCACACTGACATACATGCAGGCGAGCCCTAATGTACATAAAAATAAATATTTATTTTAATTTGTATAGCTCTACGTCCACGTGTGTGCGTATGTGCATGAGTGAAGGTGCCTGTGGAGACCAGAGGCCTCAAATCCCCTCGACTTGGTGTGATGCTGAGAACTAAACTCGGCTGCTCTGGAAGAGCAGCAGGTGCTCTGGACTGCTGAGCTCTGCAGCCGCTGCTGTCTTAGCAGCTCTTACAGTTACCTTGTGATGAGGGTTTACGTTGCGTTTCCCTGGTTACTGGTAATCTTTTTGTCTTGGGTAAAATTGATTGGGTAAAAAGCATTTACCAGCTGTCTGCTTCCTT